AGAAAGAAAGAAAGAAAGAAAGAAAGAAAGAAAGAAAGAAAGAAAGAAAGAAAGGAAATCAGACACTTCTCAAGTTTCATCTTAACCAGTATTTTCAACTTCTCCTAAAAGAAAATTTGAAGCAAAATGATGAGTGAGTAACAAAGAGCCCGAGACAGTGTTGCTTACAGAGTTGCTGTTCAATAAATATTGATGTTTTGATTTGGTTTTGGTAAGTTGAATCAGCCCGAGAACTTTTCACTTCCTTTTCTTTTTCTAGCCCACTCTGTTATGATGGTGCTCATAAGCCCAGAATAAGGGAAAATGGGATTAACTAGTAGAAACAGGAGAAACAGAAAGGCCTGGTTAGTCTAAAAAGAAGTTACCAATTGGTCCTCTAGCTGAGAACTAAATAACCTTCTCAAGGTTAAGCATGTCTTTCTAAATTATATCCTCAGCACACTGGGAGCACTCAGTAGTTGTGAAAAATTAATCATGACATTTAAAAATGTAACTAAACCTTTTCTACTCAAATTTGGAATATCAACTGTATTTGCTTCTTATGAATATGGACTGTTTTTCATTTTCATCTCTGTACCCCCAGAGCTGAACACGGTACTTTGTGATAGCCCAGGGGTTCTTAGCCTTTTTTCTGTCATGAACCTTTTCTCAGAAAAATATGTATTGCCTAGATACATAATTGAAGGAAATGCTACATTTCAGTCAGAGGTTAGTAAAAATAAAGATGCAATTATATTTTTCCACACAATTTCACAGACCTTCTGAAATCTATCCACAGACCCAGGTCTGTAAATCCCAGCTTAATGAACCCTTTTGATAATACAAAGTACTTATTGAATTGAACTTAATGTAAGATTTAAAATTAAGTGAAATTGAACTTTATCCAGGGGTAGTCAAGTTGCTTAATGAATAGAGTGTTGTAATTAGACTCAGAAAGACCAGAGTTCAAATTCTGATTTTGTGGCTTATTAGCTGTATGATTCTGGGCAAATCATTCAATGTCTCTGGCCCTCATTTTCTTCATCTGTAAAATGGAATAATAATAGCACCTATCTCTCAGTATCATTGTAAGGATCAAATGAGATGGTATTTTATAAAACACTCGGCAAATCTTAAAGTAGGTTATTATTATTAACCACCATCTTTTTAAGATTCAGTTAAAATAGTCAACATATTTATATCTTTAAAGATAGCTGACATACTTTGCAGATGACATTGCTGTTCAGTCATGTCTGACTCTTTGTGGCCCCATTTGGGGTTTTCTTGGCAAAGATATTGGTTTGCCATTTCCTTTTCCAGCTTATTTTACAGATGAGGAAACTGAGGCAAGCAGGGTTAAGTGATTTGCCCAGGGTCACACAGCTAGTAAGTGTCTGAGGTCAGATTTGAACTCAGAAGGATTAATCTTCCTGACTGTAGGTCTGATGCTCTATCCACTGTGCCACCTAACTGCTCACAGATGACACTAAGAGGGTATAATACTAATGATGCTTCTCAAGGGTGGAAATTCCCTCCATCATTGGGAGTATCTTCTCTGAAATGTATAGTCTTGAGACCTACTTGGGGTACTTGAGGGGTTAAGAGACTTAACCAAGGTCATACAGTATCAATCAGAGTCAGGATTTAAACTGAGGTCATCCTGATTCTATGGTCTAAGCTGTCTTTCTAGCCTGTATTTAGGAAGCTAGAGAGTGAACTTGGAGTCAGAAAGACCTGAGTTCAAATTCTGTCTCACATATTTTTACTTAATCTTTATTAGCCTCATTTTCCTCATCTGTCACCTTATGAGTACCTACTGTATATGATTATTGTAAGAAATAAATGAGACAATACATGTAAAGTGCTTTGCAAACCTTAGATGGCTGTATAAATGTCATTACATCATAATTTTTTTCTTGACTTTTCTTGACTTATATTAAGGAAGCCATAATTTTTGCACAAGTTTACCTGAATCCATAAATTGCTACCTAGATTTTTCATTCTCAAAATTATTTCTAAAACCTGCTCAACAAATGATTTTCAGAGCAAACTAAATACAGCATCAAATGCTTAAAATTCTTGTGGACTGGGGACAACTCCTGAGCACAATTCTCAAAGGTAAGATGTATTCCTTGCATTGAGGGGCTGCTACCATTGTCTTAAGGAAGAAGGATCCAGTGGCTCTTTTGTTTGTGGATTTCCTTTCCTCTTCTTGATTTAGCAGTTGGTAGATATTTTCTTATCTTCCTAACTAGGCTTTAACAGAATGGAATGGAGCAGGTTCAACCAACCAGTAAGAAACAGCTTTTTTGGGGGGGGGCTCTATCTATAATTTCATTTGTGTGGAGAATAGCTGCTTGTGTGAAAATTCTCCAATCTTCATTGAATTGGAAGTCTTAAAATATCACCTGGGACACTGAGAGGTGACTTGCCTATGATGTCACAGTCAATATGTGTGAGAAGTAGGATTTGAATCCAAGTTTTCCTGATTCCACGACCAACCTACTTGATTGAGCAACACTGCCTCTGTGACCCTGGATGTATAGTTTTATAGAAAAGTCTTTGATTGCAAGAATAGTCATTTGTTCCAACAGAAGTCATAAACCAAGAGCCTTTTCCCACTATTCCTTATCAAAAAAACTCAGGAAAGAAAAAGCAAGAATCTGAAAACAAGATGAACCTGGTTCCTGGTGTTATGGTCTGGAAAGACTTTGAATGAAAATAATTCTCCTTTACAAATAAAAATAAGTAAGTGATTACATTTATATTAATGTATACTAAACTATGCTTTTACTAAATTATACTTTAGAATACTAAACTATATTTAGCTGTATTAGCCTATTTTCATAAGCTATATGTCATAATTTAACTCCAACTAACTTGATTTGCGCCAAAATGATGTGAGGTTTACAGGGCTAGAAACTGTTTATCATTTACTCTGAGAGTATCGTATTACTCGTATGTATTATACATGTTGTAGCTTAGTCTTAATATGCAAGCTAGTGACTAATTAAATATTCCTTTTCATTCCCTACAAAAGAGTGCTACTAAATTTTAGCTAATGGAGGAAGCATGCCTACACTGTCCCTTTTGGAACCTGAGTAACCAAAAGCACATCTTTAATGTAAGAAATGCCTAGTAGAAATTTTTAAAAATCCTTAATGGCAGGGGCAGCTAGGTGGAGCAGTGGATAGAGCACCAGCTCTGGAGTTGGGAGGACCTGAGTTCAAATGTGACCACAGATACTTGATGCCTATTAGCTGTATGACCCTGGGCAAATCACTCAACCCTGATTGCCTCACTTTCCCTCCCAAAAAAATCCTTAAAGGCTGTAAGGAGAATGACCAGTGTGGAGAAACTGCAACCAACAGGTTTTGATATTCTCATAAGTGTGTCATTAAGGGAGTCAGAACCCAAGGTTTGAATCCTGGCTTTGTCATTTCATTTCCTGCCTGTGATCCTCTTCAAGAACAAAGGACAAACAATAACAACAATGTGACTTTATATAAGTCACTTCAACTCTCTAGACCTCAATTTCTCATTTTTAAAAGGAGAGGTTGTGCTAGAGGACTTTTATGTCACCTTCCAGCCCTGAATTTATGATCCCATGAACTTTTGTAACATCATTCAAAAGAATTTAAGTCACTTGAGGGCTGGGACTGCCTCATTTTTGTTTCTGAATCCCCAAGGTATAGTACAGTGCTTGGCATACAGTAGGTGATTAATAAATGTTTGTTGATCAGCACCTATCACAAAAAGTAACCCACTGAATATCTCAAATATTGTATGTAACTGGATATAAGACACTCTCAGTAGTCTGTAAACATCTGAAGATCATGAAAAAAAAATGACCAAGTGCTTACAATAGCAATGGATTCTGCAACACCATTCTCAGTACCTGGAAATGCATATTGCCAGAAACTTTTTAAAAGAAATACTGAGCCCATAAGGCAATTTCTCCAGTAGAGAAATTTTTTGAACAAATCTCATTTTAAGGGAGAAAATGAAAGAACATTAGATTGTCTAAAGAAGAATCAAGAAAACTATACTTTCGTACTTAGAAATAGATGGGCCAATTTACAGAGCTCTGATATCCAAACCCCAACCAAAATCTTACAGAAGCATTGAGTCAAGGAAGAGGAACAGATCCACTGAAGAGTGTCTCAAGCTTAAAATACAGGAAGTCCCACAGAAGACAGAGACAACTGAGAGTGCAGATAGCACCAAAGGAACATGAATGAAAGGTCATGATGGATAAACATTGACATGCTACTTCCTATGCCCTGGATTCAAAAGCGACTTAAAGATCATCTAGTCCAGCTTTCTCATTTTACAAATGAGGTAATTGAGGTTCTAAGAGTGACTTGCTCCAGGTCACAAAGGCAGAAAGTAACAGAGTTCCTTAATAATATTGTGATGCTCTCCAGAACATCTATCTATAGAAGAACAAAGGATGCCCTATAAACAACTCATTTGTGGCTGATATCTTCAAGTAGCAAAATGAAAAAAAAATTGAAGAATTAAATGATGACCACTGAAACTCTTTAAGTCTAACTTGCTTGGGGTAGCATGGGTGTGAAGGAACTAATCCTCCTTTGAGAGTTAATTAAAATAAAAAGAAAGTCCTCTAGACATATAAGGCAAAAATAAACCAACCTGAGAATGAGTAGTGAAGCTTGTCTCAATGTAAGCAAACTTTCAGTTTTTTACATGTTCATGAAGATAATGAAAATATAGTATTAGAAGAAATGGAACATCCTGACAATGGTAGTTCAAAAAATAAAAACCAACCTTCCCTCCTTGCTTCTTCCTTTCCTCCCTTCCTTCTTCTCTCTCTTTTTCCTTCTTTCTTTCCTTCCTTCCTTCCTTCCTTATTTTTTCTTCCTCCTTCCTTTCTTCCTTCTCTCCTTCCTTCCTTCTATTCTTCCTTCTTTCCACATTTATTAAGGGCCTACTATGTGCTACTATGTCTAATTAAGCAAAGTTCCATGGGAGACAAAAGTTGTATTTAATGAATTGGACCTATCCCCCCATGAAGTTCTCTCTCTTAAAAAGAACTCTTCTGTATTTTCTCAACACATCATCAGAAAACATGACTTTCTTTGTTTTATAATACTGTTAGTATGGTCTTTTGTTTCTAAGATTTTGCCTGCCTCTCATAAAATGGCAAAAATTAAAAGATATTAGATGCCTTAAAGTTAGTTCAGTTGCCTACAGCTCCATTTTAAAGCAAGACTTTAAAACCCTTAAAAAGAAAGTTCAAGTAGTGAATTTTCACCTACTGTCTGAATCAAATATATTTCAAAATGTAATATAGCAAGCACAAAGTAATAGATACTTCAGCTATGTATTCTAAAAATTATAAAGTAAATGTAGTTCTATAGAGAGGATAACAAATAGTTATTACATACAGTATTGCATATATTTTAAATTTTCTCACATTTCCTATTGTTCTCTTACCCTGTCCCTTTGGGGAAGGAAAAAAATGTGATTTGATTCTTTTCCTGATGATTTCAAAATTTCTAGAGACTTTATACTTCTGGGCTTTGAAAGCATCCTTTATATGTAGATCTCAGAAGTGTGTTATTTTATTAATATTGTCATTTTTAGCCAAGCTTTCCTTATATAATAGCTCTTCTGTTTTTCTATTCAGGAGAATAACCACTTGATCCTTTTCTCTTTGTGGTTATGTTCCAACAGTTGTCCTTGCTGCCTTAGATGGAAGCAGAGATTGAAGGTTAAGATATGATGTTGGACAAGAGGACCAAGATGGAGCTGGAAGAATATAGTGTTTTGCAATTTCACAATTCTGCAATGGTTGGGTAATAATGATGTATTAATTATGATGATGATGATGATAACAACAACAATAACAATGGGTACATTAACATAGTACTTTCTGTGTGTGTTCAGGCATGTTTGACTCTTTGTGACCCCATTTGGAGTTTTCTTGGCAAAGATACTGGGGTGATTTGCCATTTCCTTCTCCAGCTCATTTTATGATGAGGAAACTGAGGCAAACAAGGTTAAGTGACTTGCCCAAGGTCACATAGCTACTAAGTGTCTGAGGCCAGATTTGAACTCAGGAAGAGAAGTCTTCCTGACTGCAGGCCAGGCACATTATCCACTGCACCACATACATTGGTTCATTTGCACTGGATCTAGAGTCAGAAGTCATTGCCCATGTGATCTTGGGGAAGTCACTTATCCTTTTATGAACCTCGATTTCCTCACCTGTAAAATGAGCGTAATAATATTTGAGCTGCCTACCTCATAGAATTGTTGTAAAGATAAAATTTATGCAAAGCACCCTTCAAACTCTAAAGTGTTATAGTCTTTAAAACTATTATTATTAGTCAGCTATGTCACAATGTAATCTTTTATCAGCTTAAGCATTGAGAAATGTTAAAAGAGAAGATGGGGGCAGCTAGGTGGTGCAGTGGATAGAGCACTGGCCCTGGAGTCAGGAGGACCTGAGTTCAAATCCGACTTTAGACACTTGACACTGAATAGCTGTGTGACCTTGGGCAAGTCACTTAACCCAATTGCCTACCCCCTCCAAAAAAAAAGAACAGAGAGAGAGAAGATGAAATGAAGAGTGGAGTAGGGTAAAAACCAGAATGCCTGATTTCCATGGATCAGTCTTGAAGCCATCCAATCAGCAAACCCACCCATCCAGGTATACTGGGCAGCTCTTTCATCCTGGGGACTGGGATAAGTGTGGTGGGGTTACACTGACTTAAATTTCTAATAATTTACATCTTCAAAATATATAAAACAAAACTTTAAAGGGAACATACCTCCACATATCAATCCTTTATGTCTCACACAGGAAAAATTGTCACATTCACAGTAGGTCCCATAAACCTGTCCATAGGTGGACAGGTGGCAAATGCATTGGCCACAGTAGCAGTCTCCCCTTCCGCTGCAGGAGGCATGACCAAGGGCATCTCTACATGAGTCACTGCTCAAGGCGTTCTCGTCACATTCACAGAGAGGACCCATGTTGCCAGGGTTACAAATGCACACCCCACACTGGAAGGAGCCCTTTCCTCCGCTACACCTGAAACTGTTCACTTCTACGTCCTTTTGACAGCTGCAGCTGCACTGGGGGATGATCTCAATTTCTAGGGCATCTGCCAGGCCCACAGGCTTGATGGTGATGTGCCTGCTTCTTTTCTCACAGGTTGATAGGCTTACAGTCACATTGAATGTTGCCTGGAAAAGAAAATACTCATCATCTGCTTCTTCAGTCTCTCCCCACCTTATCCCCGCCAAAAACAAAAACAAAAACAAACCAAAAAAAACAACATATTTTCAGAAGCAAATGTTGCATAAGGATCAGCTTTGCAAACACACACGTGGCACAGAATAAGCATGTCTTAGTTACTGCCTGGAAAACACTCTTGAACTTCTTGAAAGAAATTAATTAAAGGCATTGAATGGAGAAGTTAAGCTTCAGCATTTCAAGCAAATTTTTCACTTATCAGAATAGTTCTTGAACTAAAAATTTACTTACTGTGCCTCCCACTTTTATGTGAGAGCATTTTTTTTGGTTTGGGAAGACAGTGCTATTATTACAGATAGCAGTGAATGACAGGCTGAGTCCCTCTGTATCTCCCAACACCTCCAGTTCCACTTCTGATCGCAGTTCCTTTGAGAAATAGACAACAAAACTGTGTAAGAGCCAAAAATTTAGCTAGAAAAATGAATTCTGAATTGTGGGCCTGAGCCTTAAATAAGCCAGGCTGTGGGCCTCAGAAATTCACAAGAGCAATCAGTCAATGGATATATATTTTATTGAGCCCTTAATTGTACTGAGGGGGCAGGAGAGGCAGTGTATTGAGGAAGCCATATAGTCAGGTAGACCTGGATTCAAATCCTGCCTTTTTAGTCTATTAGGTGGCTCAGTGGAGAGAGTGCTAATCCTGGAGTCAGGAGGACAGGCGTTCAATTCCAGCCTCAGACAGTTACTAGTTGTACGTCTCTAGGTGAGTTACCATATTTCACCACATAATCGTTGCACCCTGTGTAGGTTTTTTCAGTCCAAAAATTGGTTTATAGCCTTTCATCATGTAATTGTATAATTCTGTTCATCAAGCCAGTTAAAAGGTAAACAGAGGTATATGGATACGCATTTATGTCTTGTGAATTGCAAGCACATTGTGAGCAGTGATTCTACAGTCTAGAATTCTCAGCACATGTGCATTGTCAGTATATTTCTGAAACTCAACTTGCATGGCTTATTTAGAGTGCTGCAGTACTAACAGCATTGTCACTCAATCCAATGAACAGCCCTAGAGGCAAGGAGAGCAGGCAGGCAGGCCAAGCTGCCATGAGTAAGTCATGTGATATGGTAAGACTTATATTTTCCCAATTTTAACATATATTCATGAATATTCCATGCATCCTAATCTTACACCAGAGACAGTGTAGTAATAAATGATTTTTAAGTAATACCAGCACAATTTTTGAAAGCTTCACATAATGGTTGCACCCCTCTTTTTTGCAAAAAAAAAAATTGGGGCATAAAATCTGCAATGATTATGTGGTGAAATACGGTATTTAACTTCAGTCTGAATCATTTTCCTCAATTGTCAAATGGGGACACAAATAACCTACCTCCCAGAATTGTTGAGAGAATCAAGTGAGATAATATTTGTAGAGAGCTTTACATAGCACCTTGTCACACATCAAGCACTTAATAAATGGTTGTTCCTTTTTCCTCTTCACTTCTTTCTTTGACACTTATCAGTATTTGCCATCCCCTCCTGGATCACTCCCTTGTCATGGCAGAAGGGATTGCATAGTTCAATGAAATTATGAGCTATACTGTACAAGGTTACCCAAGATGAATAGGTCTTAGTGTAGAGTTCTGACAAAAAAAAAAAAAGATCCACTGGAGAAAGAAATGGCAAACCATCCCAGTATCTTTGCCAAGAAGAACCCATGGGCAATAGTGGAGGACAGAAAGATCTGGCATGCTGTGGTCCACGAGTCAGACACAATGAACTACAAGATTTGCCACAGATAAGTCACTTGTCTCAGGTCCCCAGGTAAACCTCTAGGACCATGAAGAGTCACCAGTCAACTTTGGAGTAGGGAATTTCCATACCAGGGAGTTTCCCACACAGGGAATTTCTGACTCTTCCTTCTCTCCTCTTAAAAAAATAGTTCTAGGTGATTCATGCTGCAGTGAAAACTGAACTTTTAGTGCCACTAATCATGAGCTGCTCCATTCAATTCAGTTAATATTTACTGAGTGCGAATAAGAGGTATGTCGCTGGATTGGGTGCGATGGGTCATAGCATAGGCATGACTCATTTTACATTTACATGTCAGATGGGCAAGAAATCTCTGGAGCTTATTTGCAGGGTTTCATTAATAAGCAATGGAATACCATCATAGCTTGACATTCTACTTTAACCCTTGTCACACCAAAATTTTTTTCTTAGCACTTTCCACATTAACACTATAGCTATTCTGCTTGTTTTTTTTTTTTTATTTTGGGCATTTAAATGCATATTCAAATTCACATTTTTCCAGGTAATCATTGCTCCATCATCAGAGTGATATCCTAATCCTTTGATCCAACCTCACTTATTTGGGCAAATCCTACATTTCTCCACCTTCCTGTTTTCATCTTGCCCCAAACAAAAACACCTTCCATAGACAAGTACCTGGTGGTTTTTTCAAAATGTGCTATGTATTAGAGATTTAAATATCTTTTTTCAGTCTTGATAAACATTCTCATTCCACTTTAGTTCTGCTTTGAAATTTTTTTCCTTTTTATTAAAATGTGATTTATTGATACTTTTTTGTTATTTAACCTATTCCATTAGACCCTCTTGTGAGAAAGAAAAACAATTAAGCCAAAAAAAAATAGATACAGTGACTATATTTGACAATGGAGACAATATTCTTTCCTAGTGACCTCCTACCACTTTGTCTTGGTGGGGTAAGGGTATATTTCATAATCTTTTGTGCTGACTTTCATTGTTTTTCCCACAATTATTTAGAGTTCAATTTCCTTTTAATGATCATTCCAGTCACACTGTTGTGATGATTCTATATTCTGGTTCTTTTGATTCTGTTTATTTCATAAGACCAAAGACTGTACTTTATAAGCCATCAAGTCCAATTCCCTCAGTTTACAGATAAGGAAACTGAGGCATGAAGTAACTGCCTAGGGTCCCAGAGCTGTTAAGTGTCTGAGATAGGATCTAAGCTTGTCTTTCTAACTTTAAGACTAAAACTCTAGCCAATGAGCCACCCCGCATAAATCTTTCCAGGTTTCTCTGAATTCCCTGTA